CCCTTGGTCAATAGCAGCCTGGAAATATTGAATGGAAAATTTCAGAAATAAACAATTACAGATTTTAAAGCATGTGCCTTTCTAGCCCTGGCCTGGTAGCTCAGTTGGTTAGTGTTGTCCGCATATGTCAAGGTTGCAGGTTCGATCCCCTGTTAGGGCCCATACAAGAATCAACCAATGAATGCATAAGTAAGTGGGACAACAGATCAATGTTTCTCTCTCTCTTTCTCTTTCTCCCTTCCTCTTTCTCTCAAATCAATCAATAAAAATTAAATAAATAAATACATGAGTGTGTGCCTCTCTGAGCAGCATGATGAAATCTCATGCCATCCTGCTGCATCCCCTCCAGGATGTGAATCATCCCTTTGTCCAGCATCTCCACGGTGTACATGCGACCTGCCTATTAGTCACTTTTTAGTCGCCTAGGTGATCAGATCAACTGTCATGGTGTAACAGTGCTTGTGTTCAAGTAACACTTATATTTCTTAATAATGGCCCCAAAGTGCAAGAGTAGTGATGCTGCCAATTTGAATGGGCCAAATACAAGCTGTAAAGTATATATATGTATAGAAAAAAAACATAGTATTCATGTATATAGGGTTCGGTACTATATGCGGTTTCAGGCACCCCCTGGGGGTCTTTGAATGCATCCCCCATGAATAAGGGTGACTACTTTATTATTTAGCCTCAAAAAGGAAGGAAATTCTGATATATGTCCAACATGAATGAACCTTGAGGTCATTATGTGAATATAATAATGTAGGCACACAAAAAATACTGCATGGTTCCATTTATACATGGTACCTAAAGTCAAATTCATAGAGACAGAAAATAGAATGGTGGTAGCAAGGTGTTGGGAGAAACAGGGAAGGGGGGAGTTATTGTTTAATGAGTGTAGAGTTTCAGTTTTGCAAGATGAAAAGAGTTCTGGAGATGGATGATGGTGACTGCTACATGACAATATGAATATACTTAATACTACTGAAATGCACACTTAAGAATGGTTAAGATAGTTAATTTTATGTGTATTTTACCACAATGGAAAAAAAATTATAGCTCAGGTCTAATATAAATCAAGACCTTTGTAATCAAAGAGTCCTGGATTTAAATGTTGTCAGCAATTTATTTCCCCTTTTCTACAGCTCATTTTCCTGGTCCATAAAATAGGTCCAATAATTAAAAGAATTAATGAGATAACACATATGAGCCAATGCCTATGACAGTGCCCATTAAATACAGCCCCTTCTCTTCCTCTCATTATACCAATAATTCAAATATACATCAAATGGGATTGAGAGGGAATTCTTGGAGGCTTTCCCTTTAAGCACTGTTACTGAACTTTCCTAATTTCTCTTCAGGATGCTAGGATAGGAAAGAAGTCCTCTAGTTTAGTTGCTAGAATTTACGCCCCTTAATGCCAGTGGTATGCTCTTTTACTTATAAATGCCCATTTCCCCCACTATTCTAATGCAAGACTAAGCTTAAATATTATCTACCTACCTCAACTACAGCTGGCCCCTGAGAAAAGTGGTGGGGGTTGGAACCACTTATCCCAATTCTGTCTCAACTGTCCACTGCATTCTTAAAAATAAACAGGGCTATTTATTCGAGGAGCAGCAAGTGAAAAAAAAAGTAGTGCCCCCAGCTGTCAGACTCCTGTTGTGAGCCCACACCTTATATACAGAGAGTGTCTGTTCTGTTTGTTCGTGTTCTCCCACCACTGACCCAGAGCAGTGTACTTACTCTCTTGTGTTGGAATGTGTCTGGGGCAAAGTGCCATGTTAGTGACCCTTCTTGGACCCCACTTTGACTGCTACTGACTCTCATCTTAAAGGGAAGTAAAAAAAGGCAGAATCAAGTCTCAGTTCATCACCCAGACAAGCAAGATACACACAGGAAGCTCCTGTGTCCAGGGTTCAGGCTATTCTTTCCCATCCCCTACCTCTAATAGGGACCCCACTGCTCACTAGCACCTCTCCCCAAAATGGCTACATCAGACAGGATGCATTTTCCATTGGCTAATTTGTTCCTACATCCACTCTTTAAGATCACTGACCTAGTTATTATTGCTTCAACTGTTTTCTCTTGCAAAAGAGACCACATTTGGCAACACTAGAAACAACATTCTTGTGGTCACATCAGCAATGATGAGAACAGGGTTGCTACTTTTGCTTTCTTGTAAACCTTTTAGTTCACAAACAAACTAGATGCTTGCTCTCCTTTCAACATCTCTCAAAGAGAAACACAAACAAAAAAGAAATGCTTTGCATGCAGTGTGTGAAGCCTCACGTAAGAGTAAACAAAAAAATTGAAGCTTTTCCAAAGAGACCATTTCAGGTTATCTATTTCAAGTTCTCGCTCTTGCTCTCTCTCTAAACATTTATTGAATAGCTCACCCAGTTTATAGCCTCTTCCTCCTACAGTTTATTTTCTACACTCTCCCCAAAGTGATCGTAATAAAACACAAGTTTATTTCTCTCTCCCCACCATTTAATACCCTTTATTAGCTCTCTATCACCTTCATTTTAGAATAACACACAATAAGGTTGATGATGAGGTCCTGTCTACTCCCTAGCTCAGTTCTTGCCAATCTTTCTCTATGTTTGCTGAAATAATACTAAACAACTTATAGCTTCCTGAACACATTTGTCTGTTTCAGTCCTCATAGAATGCCTAAGACAATGTCTCTTCCTTCCCCTATTTACCTGGTGAATTTCTACTAATTTTTCAAAACCCAGCTTGGAGTTCAATTTCTCCAGAAAAAGTTCCTCAACTCAGAGTTAACACCCTCCTCTGTGCACTTATTCCCATTTTACTCATTCATTTACTTGACAAATTCAATAACATCTGACACATATTTACTGACCTACTTAATACATGTCAAATGCTGTGCTAAGGAATCTTATCACTGTTGTCATCCTGGCTAATACTCCCAGGTGCCAGGCACTGTTCTAAACAATATACATTTATTTTATTTTTATTTTTATTTTTTAATCCTCAATCTAAGAGTGATATTTTTTCCATTGATTTTCAGAGAGAGTCGAAGGAAGGGGAGAAGGAGAGAGAGAGAGAGAGAGAGAGATGGGGGGATCTAACTTGCAACCCAGGTACGTGCCTGTGGCCAGGAATTGAACCCAAGACCCTCTGGTGCACAGGTCGACACTCTAAGCACTGAACCACACTGGCCAGGGCAATAATATACATTTATTAATTCACTGACCTGAGCAACAACTCTATAGAGTAGATACTCTTACTATCACCCTTATATAAATGAAGCAACTAAGTCCAGAGAGATTAAGTAGCTTGCCCATGGTCATCCTGGCAGTGGAGCTTTAAAGTGCATGTTCAATACAGACCTTATTCATATCATAATAGATAATAATTCTGATAAGGAAGATTGACATTAATAAAACACCCAGCTCTCTATCTACATCTTTGCTTAGATCATCTTACCTAGTCCCAAGGTTTTAAGTTTCATGTTTAAATTCATAACTGCCAAATTTGTATCTCCAGCCTAAACTCCATTACAGACCAATATATTCATCTGTTTATTTGACATTGTCACTTGTATATGTAATAGGCATCTTGGATTTAATTGTCAATGCTCTCCAGCCAGACCACTAGGAAAACAACTATAGTTGAACAAGTCGGGCTTGCTACTTGTCTCAGTAGGAATGCACACGATGGAGAACCATGGGGCACCTCAGTAAGAGGGTGTTAGAAATTTGGGTTTGTGTTAGATGATTTAGGGAAGGTTCAAGGAAGAGGGATTTTGCTCTGGATTAGAAGCTGTAGGGAGACAGGGGTAATCCTGTAATTTGTTCTGTTGTTGTTGTTTTTTAATGTTTCTTAAGTGATTTTTTTAGAGAGAGAGGAAGGGAAAGGGAGAGAGAGAAACATCATTATGAGAGAGAAACATCCATCGGTTTGCCTTCCCCGCCAGGGACCCAACCTGAGACCTTTTGATGCACAAATGAGCCATACTGGCCAGGACTATAATTTGGTATTTTAATAAGTATTATCTAGAAGGACCGAGGCTAAAACTGTAGTTGATGAAACAGCAGCAGTCACGCCTATTAGCCAGGATTAGGGAAACGTTTGCTCATTTTGGGGGGCTTGGACAATATTTGTTTTGTCTATGTTCATACATGATTACAGTGACCTGATTTCTGCCTTGATCTGTCATGGTCACAGAGTGGCCTCGCCTGATGTTTATGTTCTGTGAACCCCCCCCTCCCCCCCC